GGGGAGCAACTCAGATCAATCAAATGCAAGGCAAGCACCTTGGCCACTGTACTATTTCTCTGGCCTCCAAAATCATTTCTTATTCCATTTTTTAAATCTGATTTTCTTAATTTTAAAATTCTGAAGATACTCTCGGTAACTTGCCAGGCTCTCCGAGAGGGGCGGAGGAATCGAACTCGGGTCGGCCATGTTGGCTGCATGCAAGGCAAATGCCCTACTGCTGTGCTATCGCTCCAGCCCAAATTATATGTAATTTGAAAGTTTTTCAAATTACATATAATTATTTTATTTGCTAGTTTATTAATTTCGGAGAGCCCGGCAAGCTACCGAGAGTATTCGATATGCCAGACACAGTAATTTCAGATATTAATTTGAATTTATAATTAGTTGTATCTTTATGTTTTCTTAAGTCAAGAATGCAGAGCAATTATGTTTATTTAATAAACATTTATTCAAAAAAATTAGAAAAAAGGGAATAAGATATATTAGGTAGGAAATGACATTTCATAGAGAATTGGGAAACATTCTATACCACAGTAGTTCTATGATTCTGGGTAAGTTAACTTACCCAAAAGCAAGCTGATTGGAAAGCTATAATAATTATTAGTATTTTTTCATATATCACTATAAGTTAAAATCTTTATTTGAACCTAAATAATCTCTAAAGTTCCCTTAAGTAGCAATGTTCAGATAGTTGAAATGTAGCACTCTTATTTAAGTGATGACTGAATTGTATCTTTGTGGCATTTTTGCTTTTTACAAGTGATTCTTGCCCAATATATCTGGTGTGTGTTGCTGTTGCTTGGGTAGGAATTCAGTGTGTTAGTGAAGGGGAAATTAATAGAAGATTAGTTGCTATATTGCCGAAGATCTATATCCTCCATTGTGAATGCTCAACACTGACTTTGGATACACATTATCTTCCCTTTCCCCCCTTAACCCAAGTACTAACTCTCCAGACCTGGATACTTATTCTGTACAGGAAGTGCTATGGCTTACTAATATAGGAAGAAAACCAAACCACTCTGACTAAATCAGCACCACGTTTCCTGAAACAGAAGTTATAACAGAAGTTAAAAAAAAAAAAGATTATAACCTGGTGAAAAACTCCACCCTTCATCCTAATGAAGAGGAAAGTCTTGGTTAAGGAGGAGGAAATATGACTTTAACCTCTTTAAGCCACGTCTGACCCACCATGTTGTGTGGATATCTTAGGCATAGTCCAGGGATAGACCTAGAACTTGCGTTTTAGTGACGCTTGTTTACTCAGTGATCAATTTCGGTGTTAAGGTATAGAACCAAGAAGGAAAACGGGATTCCTATTTCCTCTGATCGGCAGCCATGATATGTCATATGCCCATCTCATTTGCTTACTCTTATTTTCTAACATGCTGTGGGGGTGGTGGTGGAAATTTCACGCTTCTTTGACTTTCTGTACACTATGCCCTCTCTGGAACGTCATTACCCCCCAGATTGTATAAAAAACTGTTACTTTTTTTAAAAAGTTAAGTATACTCTTCCCCCCCCACCCCCCGGAAATCTTGGGCAAACTTACAAACTGCTACTACATTTGTTCACTACTACTCTGTTACAGAAAAAAAATCACCACATTATGTTTTATCCCTGTATTGCCGTATCCATCCCCCTCTGTCCAACTCTACAAACACTTTGAGATTTATAACCAAAGAACCATACATTGTCCTTGTGTCTCCAGCACTTATCCTGCACAAACAAAATGTGGAAAGGGAGCAAGGAAGAGAAACAGACTCATGTCTGAAGTCTAAAGTCCTCCAGATAGTCAGGTTCACCGACAACAAAAATTAAAGACAAATGCTGAGGAAATTGATCATGTCAGGTTTTGAGTTCCATCCCCAGCACAACAGGTACTACTTCCCACCTTCAGAAACTTCAACTTGTCCAAAAGTAGAGAGAGAGAGTATGGGGAATATTGTCTGCCATGAAGGCAGGGGGAGGGTGGGAAAGGGGGGATATACCAGAGATATTGGTGATAGGGAATGTGCACTAGTGAAGGGATGGGTGTTTGCTCATTGTGTGATTGTAACTCAAACATGAAAGCTTGTAACTATCATGGTGATTCAATAAAATTAAAAAAGAAAAGAAAAGAAACTTCAACTTAAGTATCTTCAGCTTCAAGCCCACACTCGCAAAGCTGACCTTGACTGGGAACACCCCATTTCCCCAAACCCCAGCATCACTGGGAGAAACGGTTAGCATTGCACTGTTAGCACTGTTCTCCCATTGTTCATCGATTTTGCTTGAGTGAGCATCAGTAACGTCTCCATTGTGAGACTTGTTACTGTTTTTGACATATTGAATACACCACGGGGAACTTGCCAAGCTCTGCCATGCGGGGGGGCGGGATACTCTTGGTAGCTTGCTGGGCTCCCCGAGAGGGACAGAAGAATTAACCCCAGGTCAGCCATGTGTAAGGCAAACACCCTACCCGCTGTGCTATCGTTCCAGAAACGGTACCAAAAAATATTAGGATCAATCAAGTTTGTCTTTTCCAGTTATATGCCTCTTTTAATTACCATAGGTGAAGTTGTTTAAGTCACAATAATGATAGCTGGACAGGATGGACTTAGAATCACTTCCTGTGAATGCAGTGGTGCCCATTCCTTTAAATAAAATGCAAAATACTTTTACTGGCCCTCACAGGAAACATCACAGGAAGTCATGTTTCAGTTCTCTCTGTGCTATATACTTCAACCGCAGTTTCAAAACAGTACAGCTTCTACTGGAAACTGATAAAACAAAATGTACTTATTTAGCCAACAGCTAATAGTCTACTTTTGTGCAACTCTCTTCCAAGGTGTGTACATGCGTGTGCATATGTGTGTGCACGCACACATGTGCGCACACACACACCACACACACACACACACACACACATACACACTTGATATTTCCCAAGGGAGTTCTTTTTCCCCCTTTTGTTTCAAAATTTGAGCTTTTTAAAATAAAAAAATTAAACAGTCCAATCATGGTGATAGAGAGCAATTAGATTTTTGCTGGAGATTGTAATGTTTCATGTACAGACACAAAAGTTAAACTGTAATGTGCATCTGAAGACTATTTAACCTTGAAAACAAATGTTACTTCAATAAACAAATTTAAGTAAAACTGTTATTTAAAACAATGAACAAATCTAGGTTTCTTGCCCCCACCATTTTCACAGAAACACATGTATTTATTTCAACACTGTCTCAATTGTCCATTTCTCTCCAAAATCTCCGCCTACCCATAAAGGCAACATTTTCTGAGTTATTTTGCAACTAAAATGACCAAACTCCTGGCACATTATTACAGTTATGCCTCGGCTTTCATTCTAACTGGTGTGGTATCTTTGATCCCTCGTCTTAATTTCCAAATTGGGCATTTAAGAATGAAATTTATCCTCAGTACTAAAATTCTGTTTTCATGGGAACTGCCGGAAGGCTGGGACCCTTGTTTGAAGTGTTTTCATCTGGCCAATGTGGTTGGAAACCAAAGGTGCTGTGAACTGAGATCTGGGGAAGGCGGACAAAGTAATGACTCCATTAAGTTCCTTAATAGAAGAACTGTTTTCTGGACAAACATTATATATATGTATATATATAATATAATGTATAACATATGTATTATATAATATATGTTATAAATATTCTTTTTTTCTTTGAAATTCCTCCTTTCCACTAAAGCACAGTGACTAGCCCATGGAGACATTTATCAAATATATCAAAATGTCTTATTGTCTATGGTTAAAAACAAGTATCAGTAGCCCTTGCTGTGATTTGAGAATTACAATTTTCATTTCTTTGTTAGGAGGCGGGTCTGGTTCTATGAGACTTTCCTTTCTTTCCAGGGAAAAATCAAGTAAAATTCTTGAAGATCTTGGGAAAAAGAAAGCTTTGATATAAAGTTTTCTTTTTATCTTTTTTAATTGTGGTTTATTCATAAATGTCTTCTGATTATTCAATTGCAAATAAATATACACAGATTATAATATAAGCTATAAAGTTTTCTATAAAGACCTGTCCCACTAAAACTATTGTGACCACAGAAAATCAGAATTATCATTTTTGAGTTACAATAATCATTGCAATATCAAATTCAGTTGGTTGGTGCATTCATATTATATTTATCAATGTTTATATTTTTTGCAACAAGGGTAAGTTTATTTGGGAGAACCCTGAAGTTCACATTGTTTTTTCTTACCCCTGGAAATGTAACTTTTGTTTTTGTTTTTGGATCACATTCAGCAGCGCTCAGGGCTTACTACTGGCTTTGCACTCAGGAAGTGCTTGGGGAATCATATGGGACACCTGGGATCAAACCTGGGTACATTGCATGCAAGGCAGATGCCTTACCCGCTGTACTATCACTCCAAGCTCAAAGATGGTAACTTTTATCTCTTGAAATAAAAGTACTGAGCACACCCTGTGTTCCTAGCTCTGAACTATGTGTTGTACTTTTTGTTATCCTTCTATTAAGCGCCTCTGAGCAATTACAGTGGGAGTCACTAGATACACTTAAGACAATTTTTGTGAAGAAGACCTAATCTTCTAGCTGATTTTCTAAATCGTTCTGCTTTTGATTCTTTTCTTACTTTGAAATTATAAAACCAAAACCAGAACATGATGGAAATCTCCCCACTTCATCTGGTACGGAGGCTCTAGTCACCAGAAATAACTACACAGAGAAATTCAATTTCTGAAGAAACGTAAGCACTTAAATGGAGTCAGCTAAGGAGATAGCCAATCTGGAAACTTGGTTAATTAAAAATCTTTCTGGCCCGATTGCCTTTTGAAGATTACTAGGTTCATGCTGAGCTTTTTACTTCCTGCTAACTTTACTTCCTTACTAACGATTTGTGAAACAGAAGTTAAAAGAGATTTTTAGAGTTGCTAGAGGATTTGGAGACATATAAAACACCTTATCTCACACGAAATGGTTCATGTTTTCGCTCTCAAATTGTAACAAAATGTCGTGGATCTTACCTTTCGCAGGCACTCCTCCTCAGTCTTTTAGGCGAAAGTTCAGATTTTCCCTGAAGGGCCACGACAAGGCTGGTAACACGGATGTCTGGTGCTATTTATGTAAAAGCAGAAGTGGAGGAGGTATAAGTATGTCGCACTGTGACAACAGGAAACCCGTAAGAGAAGAGGGAGGAAGTAGGCCTGGGCCTCTCCTATTTAGACAAGAGATACAATCTGATGGTGTTTAAAAGATTAATTCCACAACTCACTCAAATATCTAATCTAGTTTCTATGAGGCTGGAGCGATAGCACAGTGGGTAGGGCATTTGCTTAGCATGCGGCCGACCTGGGTTGACCCAGGTTCGAATCCTCCAGCCCTCTCGTAGAGCCCAGCAAGCTATCAAGAGTATCTTGCCCAAACGGCAAAGCCTGGCAAGCTACTCGTGACATATTCAATATGCCAAATACAGTAACAACAAATCTCACAATGGAGACATTACTGGGCCCACTCGAGCAGTGCAGTTTCTATGAAACACAGGAAAACTCAAAGGATTGAAATTTAAAGAATCTCTTAAATCATTCCATTCTCCCCATACTCTCAAGCTCCCTTAGGAAAGATCTCTACTCTTCAGTTTTATGTAGTCAAAACTTTAACCTGTATCTCAAAAAATGGATCATACTAAGACAAAGGTGTTGTTGAAGCCAAACATCAAGGAGCGCTGGGAGAAATTCTTTCGTTAGTAGAGGGAGCCCCAAATTTAGAAACTAAAAGTCTAGGCTTCATTCTCAGCTTTATCTCTGTATTCTGTGAACTACAGAGTAAATCTCAACCTCTTAGCTTCAGTTTACTAATAATAACATCAGTGATGCTACTAGATAATTTCTGTTTTAAACCAATTTATAAATGATAAAACAAAAGCTCAAAGATAATTGCATAATGTTATATAAATATGAATTGCAAAATTGATACTCAAATTAGAGGTTACAAAGATTGTGATTTTAGAAACTGACCAGTAGATAGTTGCCAGTTTTCATTATGGTTTTAAAGGAATTTTCTTAAATGGAAAATGTTAAAGGATTAAGACATAATCCCAATATATTTAAACTTTTTATGTTTATATTTAGTGGCGTTTAGGCAAGATGATTCTAATAGTATTATTTTTTATGGTATTGCTGTGCATAATTACTGCACATTTGACATCAACAGAAAGGGCTCTGGCCCTCCACCACTGTTTTATGTCACTTCTAGTCTGCCTCTGTCATCCTGCCCACACCCTCCCACAACTGTTTAATTATTTCAGTTAGGAAGCCAAAACCTAAAAGTTTGTCATAATTTGATACTTTCTTGACTTCTCTATTTATAGATGAGTGAGATCATCCACTATGTGTTCTCTCTCAGACTTCACTTAGCCTATGTCCTTCAGTGCCACCCAAGTTTCAACAAACAAGAAAATTTAATCTTTTATTATAGTTGAATAATATTCCATTTTGTGCATATATCATGACTTCTTTATCTATGACTTCTTCTGCATCATCATTGGACATTTGGGTTGTTTTCAGACCCTGGTTATTGCACTATGAACAGTTAAGAACTTAGGTGTGCATATATTTCTTCAAATTATTGTTTTGGTGTTCTTGATTTAAAAACCCAAGTAGAATTTGGAGCTCATATAGAAAACTTTTGAGAAGCTCCATATTTTGGAGCTTTAACAGTGTCACCAACTGGATTAAGGGTACCTCTACCAACACACACCACCAACAGTGGCTTGTCTTTTTAATACATGCCATTCTCACTGGTGTAAGATGATATTTCATTTCCCTAATAGCAAAGGACAATGAACAGTTTTTATCACGTATCTACTTTCATTTTGCATGTCCTCTTCAAGAAGTGTCTGTTCATCTCTTCTCTACATTTGTTGACAGGGTTATTTTGTTGTTGAGTTTTGTGAGTGCTTTGTATATCTTAGAAGTTATCCATTTTATGATATAAAGTGTGCAAATATTTTCTCTCATACAATGGGGTTTCTTTTTTTCTTTTTGGGTCACACCCGGCGATGCACAGGGTTACTCCTGGCTCATGCACTCAGGAATTACTCCTGGCAGTGCTTGGGGAACCATATGGAATTGAACCCGGGTCAGCCGCTTGCGGGGCAAATGCCCTACCTGCTGTGCTATCACTCCAGCCTAATTGGGTTTCTTTTGACTTTATCCTGGATTTCTTTTGTCTTGCAAAAAAGCTTTCAATTTGATGTCTATATTTGTCTTATCTTTCTCTCTAGAGTCAAATCACTGTAGGTATCTTTGAGGTTTATATCCTGGAGATTTCTGTCAACATTTTCCTTAATGTATTTATAGATTCTGGTCTAAACTCAAAGGATTTAATCCACTTTCAACTAATATTTTGTTGTGGTTATTTTGTGGAGCCACAACCAGGCTTTACTCCTGCTGAGGGCTTATTCCTGGCTCTGTGAATCCAGATCACTCCTATCAAGTGTGAGGGATGGAACCTTTATGGTTCTGGGGGTCAAACCTTAGATTAAATTGGTTTGTTTCTATTGTAATTTGTCTAATTCTTTTCTTCACTTATTTATTTTTTTGCTTTTGTTTATTTTGACTCAATGCAATGCTCAATGACTCCTGACTCCGTGCTCAGGGATCACTCCTGGAAGGGTTTGGGTAGGGTACTGTAAGTGGCACCAGGGATCCAACCAAGATTGACTGCACGCAAGGCATGTGCCTTATCCACTGTATCATTTCTCTGATCCTTCTGTTTCTTTATAGTCTGCATATGCAGGAGAACATTCAATATTTGTCTTTTATTTTATGACTAATTTAACCTAGCATGACACCCTCCAATTCCATCTAGGTTGCAATAAGCCACAACATTTCATATTTTTTCATAGTTGTGTAGTATTTTGTTGCATATATATCACAATATTTATCACAACAGTGTTGGGCATTTGGGCTGTTTTCAGATCTTGACTATTGTAAATAGTACTGTGATTAATATAAGTGTATGTGTGTCTTTTGGAATGAATATTTTTGTGTTCTTGGGGTAGATAACCAGGACTAGGATTGCAGAGTCATACGGAAGTTGACTCTAGGACTCAACTTCATAATGTCTCTAGGAGTCTCCAGACCATTTTCAGGGAAACTGAACTATGCAATAGTCTCACCAATAGTGAATAAGAGTTCCTTTCTTCATTACATTCCTGCCAACACTTATTTTGTCTGTGTTTTGTCAAATTGACTATTTTTGGTGATGTGTGATGAAACCTCATTGTCATTTTGATTTGCATTTACCTGATAATCAGTGATAATGAACATATTTTCTTTTTTTTTAATGAACATATTTTCATGTACCTGACATATTTGTCATCTTTATGTCATCTTGGAAGAAATCTTTATGTCTTCTTCTGTTGTTTTTTTTTTTAATGCAATTGGTTTGTTTTATTGCTGTTGAGCTTCTGGGAGTGGTTACTTATTTTGGTTATTAGCCTTTTTCTAACATATGATGTGCAAGTGTTTTCTACCAAGTGGTATGGTGTTTTTTAATTTTCAGTTTCATTTCTTTAACAGTACATAAGCTTTTTAGTTTAATATAGTGCCATTTGTTTATTTCTGCTTTTGTTTTCTTTGCCAGTAAAGTCATGTCATGGAAGAATCTGGGATTTTGTGGGATCCTATCTATGTTTTTCTCAATGTATTTTATGCAAAAGAGTTTGACAGAGAGGTCTTTAATGCAGTTTGTGTGTATATATATATATATATATATATATATATATATATATATCATGAGATAGAGGGAAAAAAACCAATATTCCCAGTCTCTTTACTCCACTTCAAAGCTTACCCCTTTGTCATAAATTAGTTTCCCATAGTTTTGAAGATTTATCTCAGTGGTATCAAATCTATTCCATTAATCTGAGAGTTTTTCTTTTTCTAGTACAAAGCAGTTTTGATTACTCCAGCTTTGCACTAAAGATTAAAGTCTGGGAATTGAAAGTTTCCTGTTTTTCCCCATAACTGCTTTGACTATTTCCAATGCTTTATGTAATAAAAAATTTAGATGTGTTTGTTCTATGTTTTTAAAGAATGCCATGGGACTTTTGATGGAGATTGTATTCCATCTGTAAATCACTGGGGTAATATGAATACTTTAATGATGTTGATCCTTCCAACCCATGAATAGAACTATGTTTCTGTTTTCTTGTGTCTTTTTAAATTTCTTTTTTTGCTATTTTCTTTTTTCTTTGTCATTTGGAATTGAATTATAGTGCATACTGAATATATCTTTCATCTCCTTTGTTGGATTAATTGCTAGATACTTGGGTTTTTCTAAAAGTTTCATACATGGATTAGCTATTTTTATTTCTCATATGCACATTTATTTGCATATAAAATGCTACACATTTTTGTACAGTTTTTTTTGAGGGGCCACACCCAGCTTTGCTTAGGGCTTACTTCTGGCTCTGTGCTCAGGTATCTCTACTTGGCTTTGCTCGAGGGACTATATGTGGTGCTGGGGATTGAAATTGATCATCTGTATATAAGGCCTTACACACTGTACTATCGCTCTGTCCCCATTCATTGATTTTCTACCCTAATTTATAGATTTATAATCTCTAGGACTCTATTGGGCTGGAGCAATAGCACAGTGGGTAGGGAATTTGCCTTACACGCGGCCAACCCAGGTTCTATTCCTCCATCCCTTTGGGAGAGCCAGAGAAGTTACCAGAGTATCCTGCCCGCATGGCAGAGCCTGGCAAGCTCCCCGTGGTGTATTTGATATGCCAAAAACAGTAACAACAAGTCTCACAATGGAGACATTACTGGTGCCTACTTGAGCAAATTGATGAACAACAGAACAGTGCTATAGTGCTACAGAACTTTATTAATGGAGTTTTAAGGTTCCCCATGTACAAAATCATGTTGTCTATGAATAGTGATACTCTGACTTCTTTTTAACCAATATATATTCCCTTTATTTCTCTTTCTTCCTTAAATTCAGAGACTAGGACTTCTAGTACTATGTTGACTAATAGTGGTGAAAATGGACATCCTTGTTTTGCAGTTCATTATAGTACTTCCATTAAAAACACCTTTTTT